ATGCTTGCCCCATAACAAGGCTAGACAATTCTAGAGGTTTTCTAAACTAGCCAAGGTTAGTTAGATGCTAGAACTATAGAAGTGAAAATCCAAGACTATATTATAGTATAGTCTTGGGCTGCAGCCATCTAATCCCACCCCACCCCCACCACCTTCCCCAACATCTATATTTTTTGTTTCTGAAACTTCATCTGCAGGTTAACTCCTTAGCTGCTGTAAGAGGGATGGGTATTGAGTCAAAAAATAAACTACCCAGTCCCACTTAAAGTGACAAAATGCTGTATCTATGAATACCTTTGTCTGGGGGAATAATCAGAGATGTGAACTAGGTGTGAACAAAGCCTAAATACTTCTATTGAATCAATCTTTCAAATCAATCAAAATCAGACAAGTTTGAAAAGTCCTTGAGCCACTGGATGAATTGGAGTGACATTGCACAGGAAGTGTGTTTCGACTGGTTGAAGAGACATCCTTTATAATAAGAGCTAGCGTTTTGCAAAGCATATTAATATGTGATCCTCACCACAAACCTGTGAGGCAACTACTGTATTATCCCTGTTTTATAGAGAAGTTAAATGACTTGCTCAGGTGCATGTGGCTAGCAAGTGTCTGAGGGGTGATTAGAACTCAGATTTCTCCCTACGCCTCAGTCTTAGCCTCTTCCCTTCCCCCTTTTCTTGGCCAGGGGAAGGTTGGAGGAGTGGGACTTGCCATGGATTCTTAGCACTGTCACAAGATGGCAGTAGTGTCCAAGGAAGAGGGAGCTTCAATACTGCAAAAAGTCTACTAGAAAGATTTGTTCAGCTGTGTCCGACTCTTCATGACCCCATTTGGGGTTTTATTGGCAGAGTTACTGGAATGGTTTACCATTGCCTTCTTCAGGTCATTTTATAGATGAGGAAATTGAAGCAAACAGGGTGAAGTGACTTGCCCAGGGTCACACAGCTAGTAATTGTCTGGGGCTGGATTTGAACTCATGGACATGAGTCTTCCTGACTCCAGGCCTGGCATTCTATCCACTGCACCACCTAATTATATTAGAAATATTAGAAAGCTATAACATACCTAAGGGAAGCGCCATGAATACCCTACCCAGGGGAGAAAAAGGGCTTCTTGCAATTAGAAGCTGTCACGTGTACTTTCTAAGCCCAAGTCCACTTTACCTTCAATTCTCTATGTACCTGTGTGACAGCCATCATTCTTATATACAACTTTAGTAAATAGCACTCTCTAATTAAGTTTGGCTAATTGGTGTCAGTCAAAAGCATGTAAGTGCTTACCATGTGCCAGGCACTGTGCTAAGCATTGGGGATAAAAGAAAGGCCAAAATTCCATCCTTGCCTAAAAAGTCTACATATCTAATGGTGGAGACAGGATGCCCTAAATTGTACACATGATATACACAGGGTAAATTGGAGATAGTTTGGGGGAAGGTATTACTAGCAGCAGGAGTCTGGGAAAGGCCTCCTACAGAAAGTGGTATTTGAGTGCGGTTCTAGGAGAAGCCAGCAGGTGGCGATAAGGAAGAGGAGAGCATTTTGGGCATGGCAGACAGCCAGTGGAAAGGGCCAGGGTAGGGTGATTGAGTGTTGTGTTGGAGAGACAGCAGGAAAGTCAGTACCCCCAGATTGTAGAGTAGGTAAAAGGGAACAAAGTGGGTGAGGACTGGCAAGATAGGAAAGGTCCAGGTTGTGGAGGACTTGAAAGCCAAAGCTTTAAAGCTAGTTCACCTAGCTTTATATTTGATCTTGGAGGTAATAGGGAGCCCCCAGACTTTATTGAGTGGAGGGAGTCAGTCACATGGTAATATCTGTGCCTTAGGAAGATCACCAATAGTTTAATAGAGAAGGGATTGGAGTGGGGGGAGACTTGAGGCGGGGAAACCAGCCTGCGCCGTGGAGGCAGCTCTGTGAGTGAAGAAAGGGGAAAGAGTATGGAATGTCATAGAGGTAGAAAGGACAACAGAATGGACATGTGGGATGAGTACAGGTAAGGAGTTGAGGATGATGCAAAGGTTTTGAGCAGAGGAAACTGGAAGGGTGATGGTACTATTGACTGGAATAGGGAAATTTGGAAAAGGGAGAGGGTTTGGGAGAAAAGATAATGAGTTTTCTTTTGGATGTGTTGAATTTGAAATGCCTGTGAGACATCCATTTTGAGATGTCCAAAATGCAGTTGGTGATGTGGGACTCTAATTCAGGAGAAAGATTAGAGCTGAATGTATAGATGGAGGAATCATCTTCATAGAAACATTAATTGAATTTATGAGAGCTTGTGAGATATTGCATTAGAAAAATAACCTGCCAATCCCTCAGGGCTACCTTGGACTCTGAGGGCATAAGTATCCCCTCAGAGGTCTCAACTGCCAGTGCAGTAGAGATAGAGACAGTGAATCCAAACCATGTACTACAATACATAACTCCTTGGTTACATCCATTCTGTCCCTTGGGAGGAAATCAATAAGCCCCAACATCCATTAGTATAAGACTTTCTCTTTATCGGTGAAGCTCAATGCCTCCTCCTGCCTGTGTGAGGCACAGGGGTAGGGTTGTCCAGAATAGGAGAGAAGAAAGATCTGGTTTTTTGAAAAAAATCTCTTTGGGATCGTCTAGCTTCCAGCGTCAAGAGAGAAGATGCACAGAGTTCCAGCCTCTCTTCAGAGCCATGAAGAGAGTAAGACACTGGGAAGAAGCTGACAATAATTGTGTCCTCATTCTTGTGTTGCTCCACTACAGACTTTGGGGAAGTTTCCTGTTGGATAAGATCTGGGATTTTAAGTGACTTGCTCGGAGTCACACAGCTAGTAAGTGTTATGTGTCTGAGGCCAGATTTGAACTCAGGTCCTCCTGACTCCAGGGATGGTGCTCTATCCACTATGCAACCACCTGCCTCGATCTGGGACTTTCTTGATTGAGCTGAGATATCTCTCTCTCTCAGTGAAAGAGTTCCTTCAATCTTTATTTTCTCATATATATATTTATTTTATATGTATATTTTCTCTGATTTCTGTTTTCTGTCAACTTGGGTTCCTTTGCTTTTTGCTATGTGTGCTCTTTGTGGAACTGACATTTGGTGGGAATGGGGTCAAGCCTTGGATCTAAAGCTTGGGGCCCTCCTTCCCCATTAAGAAATAACCATCAGGAGTTTAGCTTGAACCTTAAAATTACATCCCCTAGATTAACAACATTTACAGGAGCAGATACATATAATTTCATCCTATAACCCTTCTTTCTGAGGAGAGTTCTTTGCTTTCCTTTCTGGCAGGAATTAAAGTTTCTTAGAAGAGTGGGGGAAAGGGACACTAGAGATGTATGTATTCATACTATGCTTCAAGCCACATGTGACACCCCATGCCTACATATGGGGGCCAGCCTCACTATAAAAGGCTGACCCTCTAATGATGTAATAATGATTTTTGTATTGTAACAATAATAATAACTAGTGTTTATAGAATTATTTAAGGTTTGCAATGCACTTTACATATCTCATTTTATCCTCACAATAACCTTCTTAGATATGTGCTATTATTATCCCCATTTTACAAAGGAAGAGACAGACTCGGAGATTTTTCTAGAGTCACACAGGTAGTAGGTGTCTGAGGTGGGATTCACATTCATGTCATCCTGACCCCCAAGTCCAGCACTAATAACTCAAGGAAGAACTAACAGGCCTGTTTCTATGAGACAGCAAAGAATAATTAGTAGGAGGGCATTCCCTGCCTGTTGAGCAGAGGTGGTTATGGTACTTTCTGTGCTCCCCTTTTCGTGCCAGGGAGGCTCCTCTTGTAAGTACCCAGAGGGCAGCTGCTTTTTACACACCATGAAATGCTTACCTACCAGATAGTCCAGCCTTACTGGCCTCCTTGTTCTTTCCGTTTCATGCTCTGTCTCCCATCTCTGTGCCTAGAATGCTCTTCTTCTTCCCCTCTACTTCTTGGAATCCCTCATTTCCTTCAAGAATGCATTCAAGTCCTGAATTCCACAGGAGGACTTTCCTGCTCCCCTCCTCCTTTTCTGCGCCTCTACTTCCCAGCTGCCAGTGTTTCCTCTCCATCTTAATTCCCCCTTTTGGTGAATGACCACTCTCCCTGACGGTTGGGGAGAGGGACAGCCTATAGTTCATCTTGCTCCCTTCTTCTTACACACGTTGTATATTTTGTCTATAGACATCTCAGGCCACAGTTTTTACTGCTGGCTCTGTTCTTGACATTTGTCTCATCATCTATTATTATTATTACTAGTTCATAGCCCACTCCCTAGAGCATTTTTGTGTCACGGACATCACTGGAGGTCTGGGAAGCCTACAGACCCCCTCTAGGATCATGTTTTGTTACCTACATTCATAATCAAAGGAAATACTAAATTTCCATTAGAGATTATTGAAAATAAAGATGCAATTTTTCCACCATCCAATTTAACAAATGCCCTGAAATCTCTCTAGGTTAAGAACCCTAGCTCTGAATATCTAGCTCTCCTCCTCACCTTTTCAGCATAAAGCTCTCCATGACTGAGAGACGAGAAGACACCAGGTTTAAAACTGGAAGAGACTTTAGATGAGAGGTGTCAAACACCCTGTGGTGGCCCTCAGAATTAGGGTTTAGAGTTAACCCTGGCTCTCTGTGTTCCCCTTCCTCCACTGCAACAACATTCCCAAACCAGATTAATATGTAATTGAAGGCTATTTAATAAGCTAAGTAAAAATATGATAGCTCATAGATAAATTAATATATGGTTGTTTAAATAAGGGATCCTCATGTATAATTGGTTCAATGGCCTTCCATTTCTATTTGAGTTTGACGCCACTATCTTTAGATAATCACCCAGTCCACATCCTGTTCCCCCATTTTACTGAGGAAGAAAATAAAGCCCAGAGCAGTGGTAAGCCTATACAAAATTTCACTCTCAGCCCACTCAGTATGGCTGTAATTGCAGATCTGAATAGAATCTGTGGGCTTACAAAGCCTCGTGCTCCAGATAACTGGCCTGAGAAAGCCCGTTGTCATGGCACCCAGGCAGCAGAGAAGGGCAGGTTGTTCTCCTGAGACCCAGGCTGCTGTCAAGAGCCCTAAAGAGGAAAATGGGGGGCAGAGAAGGAAGGAAGAGAAATGGGTGATCAGGGAGATGTGGAGGGCAGGTGGGCTTGTTTACTCTCTGAACAGGAACTCTCATTGCTAGCCTCCTCCTGAGCTTCAGGGAGAATGGGACAGAGATGGAGAATGGTGATTTGGAATGGGGGAAAGGCTCTACCTGGGAGGATAAATGTGCAGCTCTCTTCTGACCAGGAGGGTGCAGAAAGAAAGTTGCTAGTATCTTGAGTGTGAGAGACAAACCAGCCATGCACTCCTGAGTTCAGACCCTTCTGTAGTAGTGGAAAGAACTTGGGCCTGGAGTCAGAGGACTTGGGTTTCCATCCCAGCTGTGCTACTGCTCACCTGTGTGACCTTGGGCGAATAACTTTGATTTCCTACGTCTCAGTTTTACCATGTGTGATAAAATAACAGCCAACATTTATGTAGCTCTTTCAAGTTTGCAAAAGCATTTTTAATGTATTGTCTCATTTAATTCCTGTAGAAGCTCAAACATTTCCCACTTATCAGTGATAAAAAGGTTAGACAGATCGACCTCTAAGGTTCCTGCAGTTCTAGATCCATAATTCTGAGTTCCCCTCCTCCCTCCCATTCATTCCCCTGGGCACTGTCATCAGGAAGGAGTGGGAGTTTGGAAATGATGTCACTATCTCAGCCTTTCTGCCTCCTGTGGTCCTGGCTCCCAGGTGAAGAAGGAGGTAAGGCGGTGCCTGGTGTCGGATGGGACTTGGTGGCTGATGTTAACTATGTGACCCTGGGTGAGTCATTTCACTCAGAAGTCTTTGTAAAAGAGGGATCATAATATTTTTCTTCCCAACTCTCATGTGTGCATTCTTGTGAATGCAAATGCAAAGATATCATTGAAGAGAAAAATATATATATATATATATATATATATATATATATATAGTTAAATTCCATTAGTTTTCATTAGGTTTTGTCTACTGATGTCAAGCATTTCTAATTTCTTCATTTAGACACAGCAGGCACCTTGTTCTAACTCATTATCTAGCTTCCCTGTCATTGTCTACAGGAGAGACAGTCACTATCTGGGTCACAGGGCCAGGAAGAATGTAGGAACTGATGATTTCAGACTCAAACTCCATCCTATGGGTACATCCTACATGGCTTCTGGGGCCACTGCCAGGGTCAGTAGGTCAGGGGCAGAGTCAGCTCTTAGCCTCATCAGCTTTCTCTTGTTCCATTGACCCCTTGGAAGCTGCAGATGACCAATGTCAGCATTGCACTAGGCTTTCTTCTGTAGAAGGACTTCTCTGAGCTTCCTCTGTTCTTTAATCCAAGGAAGCAATGACTTCTTTCAGAGTCCAAGGGTCAGAGCCTCCTTATTTTCATTGCAGAACTTCTCTGGACCCTAGCTCCCAGGATCCACAGGGGTAGGTTGGAGGACAGAACCACAGTTATAGAGCCATCTTGGAACTTGGAGATCTTCCAGCCCAGCCCTATTTTGTAGATGAGGAAACAGATCTAGAGACAAAGAGTATAAGGAGGGAGGTCTGACCGGTTAGGGAGTGCTTATGGCTCATGGTGCTTCAAAGGTTAACTTGAGAGGATTTTGTGACTCCTTTTAGATACTTCTGCAAAGAACAGAATCAGTTAATAATCATCTATTAAACACCAACTGCAAGTTAAAACAATCTCTGCCAGTAAGGTGCTTCTCAGGGGAAGCAGTATGTACACAGGAAAGTAAAGAAATGCTGGGTCCTGGTGGGAGAGCAAAGGGCTGTGAAAGAAGTGGGGGCAGAAAGCCTAAGTAAGGAGAGAAGAGGTAGGACGTGGGAAGGAGGAAGCCCTTGACACTGTAACAGAGCTAAGGGAGTGAGACAAGGACACCTGGGTGCCAGGAAAGGAGCTGGAGCTGGGGTGAAAGGGGTGGCTAGAGAAGCAAGATGCCCGGGGCACCTAGGTGAAGCAATAGATAGAGCATTGGACTTGGAGTAAGGAAGACCTGAGTTCAGATGCTAACTGACACTTTCAAGTTGGGAGTCACTTCACTTTTTTCAGACTCAGTTTCTTCATCTGTAAAATGAGGATGACAAGACCTATAATACTGCACAGGGTCATTGAGAAGATGAAATGACATAACGTATGTAAAGCACTTTGAAAACCTTAAAGTACTCTATAAGTCCCTTCCCTTCCCTTCCCTCCCCTCCCCTCCCCTTCCCTCCTCTCTCCCTTCCTCCTTCCCTCCCTCTCCTCTCCTCTCCGCCTTTTCCTTCACCCTTTCCTTCCTTTCACTTCTCTTCCCTTCTGATAGAACACTAGACCTAGAGTCAGGAAGACCTAACAAAGTGACCCTGAGCAAGTCACGTAATTTCTCTCTGCCTCTGTTTGCTCAACTGTAAAATGGGGATAATAATATCATTTACCTCACAAAGTTGTTGTGAGGATCAAATGAGACAATATCATGCACTTAGCACGGTGCCTGGCACATTGTAGGCATTCATTAATGCTGATTCCCTTCCTGATTCCCTTCCTTCTCTGTTTAATACAGTGCATAATCCTTAAGAAAGGAACTATTTTGTTTTTCTTTTTGTATCCCCAACACCCAGCGTGGTACCTGGAATGTGGTAGGTAGTTAATAAATGTTTGTTGAATTTAATGGAATGAATTTGAGGTCTTTCACCCTCCTAGTTGGCTTCTCTGGATGTTTCCCACCTTATCAATCTCCTTCCTAAAACATTTCAGTTGTGATCTGACCAGGATAGAATCCAGTGGTACTATGACTTCCTTATTCTTGGAAGCTCTGCCTATCAATCAAGCCATGATCAAATTAACTTTCTTGGCTGCCTTATCAGTGTTGACTTATATTGGCCCCAGAGCCCACTAAAACCCTCAGATCTTTTTCAAGTTGCTGTCCAACCATGTCTCCCACATCTTCTACTTGATAAGTCAGTTTTTTGATCCCAAGTATATAGCTATGTTTACCTCAATTAAATTTCACTTTATTAAAGTCAAACCCATGATTTAGCTTGTCAAGACCACTTTGGCTCCCGGTTCCATCATCCAGTGTGTTAACTACCCCAGCTAGCTTAGATGGCCAATCTCCTGAGGTCCTCTCCTCATCTCTCCCATCCCCTTAAAACCCAGCTACTTGACACAGGTCAGATTTCAATAGTCAATGTGGAGCAGAGGCTAAATGCCATTACCTATGTAGTTCAAGGAAAAAAAGAAAAAAAATTTTCTTTGCATATTTTAGGTAATTGGAGGTGATGAAGGCCTGGCCTGAGAACTCTCCTGAGAGTAGTGGTTCTTAACCTGTGGTCCACATATCCCTCTGAGAGATCCATGGATTGATTTTAGGGAGTCCTTGAATTTTGATAAGAAAAAAAAATACTTCTTTGTTTTCACTAACCTTTTACTAAAATCTAACATTTCTCTCAATTATTTCAAAGCATTTTTCTGAGAAAGGGTCCATAGGCTTCACCAGACTGCCAAATCGGGTACAGGACACAAAAGTTAAGAACTCCTATCCTAGCATTTCTGTTAAATCTGCTGCTGACTTAAAGGATGAGGCAGCTGCATTCCCAGAATGGTTCCTAGTCTGACTCCAATCAACCACACAATCAATCGTTTAAGAAATATTTTTAAATTTTTTTTCTTTCTTTACTCTCTGTAACCCTTGAAAATAGTGGAAATCTGAAGAGAGCTGTCTCTTCTCCACCTACTAAGAAGTAATTAGGTAATCATTCCTTAGCCCTTTCAAATTGTTCAAATGAATTGACCTTTCTAGGTTTCTCTTGTCTCCTATGTGTTCAACAAGCATTTGTTTAACATTCACTATAGGTTAGACACTATGCTAGTACTGGGGATACAAAAACAGCAGAACCAATTCCTGGCCTCAGAGGGCTTACATTCTAAGTTAGGAAACCACATGTATATAAATAGGTGCAGAAAGACATTTAACCCTTTGATTAGGTGCCTGCTATGAGCAAGGCGCTGAAGGTGGTCAGCACTAACCACTCGCCTCTTCAAAAACTGTCCCAGAGACATCCCTGAAGATGAAGAGGCAGTACAACTTAGGAAGAAGTGAGTTTCAAGGAACGCCTCCACTGAAAAGTCATTGAATTTTCCTTTTTGTGTTGTTGGCTGGGTAGGAAGCCACTGGAGGAAGAACTGGTTGCCGCTGCAAAACAGAAACACTTAGGATCATAGATTTAGACCTCACAGCATTCCCAGAACCCATCTAGTTCCACCTCCTTGTTTTACAAATGAGGAAACTGAGACTCACTCAGAGAGAGAAAATAAAAATAAAGAACAATGTCTAACATTTCTATAGTGCTTACAATGTGCCAGGTGATGTGCTGAGTAGTTTACAATTATCTCATTTGATCCTCACAACAACCCTGCTGGATAGGTGCTATTATCCCCATTTTATAGATGAGGAAACAAACACAGGTAAAGTGACTTGCCCGGGGTCACACAGATAGTAAGTATCTGAGGCTGGATCTGAGGTTCTCCTGGCTCCAGGCCCAGTTCTCTATTCACTGCACTTTGTAACTGCCCCTATGAGTTAGGATCTTAGATTTAAGGGACCTTAGAGGTTTTCTGGTCTGACCCTCTCATTTTACAGATCAAGAAAATGAAGCTCTGAGAAGCCTTTAATGTCACACAGGGACTATGTGGCAGGGTCCTAGTGCAAGCCCAAATTCCCTGACTCCAAATCCAGTGATTTTTTCGAATGGTACCAGGTCTGGAGCCCATCAATGTCAAGCTCCTAACTCTCCCCACCTAGGTGAAGGTAGCCAAGCGTAGCCTATGCCAAATAGGAAGTATCCAAAGTGGGTCCCCTGGTCTCAGTCTCCCACTTGCTCCTTAGCCCCATGAATACTACATCATCATCATCATCACCACCACCACCAACAACCACCACCACCACCATCATCATCATCACCATCACCATCATCATCATCATCATCACCACCACCATCATCATCATCATCATCACCATCACCACCACCATCACCACCACCATCATCATCATCATCATCATCACCACCATCATCATCATCATCACCACCACCACCAACAACCACCACCATCATCATCATCATCACCACCACCATCATCATCATCATCATCACCATCACCATCATCATCATCACCACCACCACCACCATCATCATCATCATCACCATCACCATCATCATCATCATCATCACCACCACCACCATCATCATCATCATCACCATCACCATCATCATCATCACCACCACCACCACCACCACACCATCATCATCATCATCACCATCACCACCACCATCATCATCATCATCACCACCATCATCATCATCATCACCACCACCACCAACAACCACCACCATCATCATCATCATCATCATCATCACCATCACCACCACCATCATCATCATCATCATCATCACCATCACCATCATCATCATCATCATCATCACCACCACCACCACCATCATCATCATCACCATCACCATCATCACCATCCTCATCACCATCACCACCACCACCATCATCATCATCACCACCACCATCATCATCACCATCACCATCACCACCACCATCATCATCACCATCACCATCATCACCATCCTCATCACCATCACCACCACCACCATCATCATCATCACCACCACCATCATCATCATCACCATCATCATCACCACCATCATCATCACCATCACCATCATCACCATCATCACCATCCTCATCACCATCACCACCACCATCATCATCATCATCATCATCACCACCATCATCATCATCATCATCACCACCACCAACAACAACCACCACCACCATCATCATCACCACCACCACCATCATCATCACAGTGGACACCTGCAGCATACTTGTAGAGCATTTTGCAGGGCAATAGGGATTATTTGGAGGTGTAAAACACAATTGCCCAGTTGAGTTGGGGAAACAACACAGCTATATAAAACTGAGGGGCCTTGAGTAGATTCTCAAGTAATAATCTTGATTGGCATTAATATAATGTTCTGCATACATTATTTCATTTGACCTTTATAACAGCTCTGTGAGATAGGCTCAGTAGCTATTATCTCTGTTTAAGAGATAAGAAAATGGAGGCACTGTCATACACTTAGTAAATTTCAGAGGGAGAATATGAACCAAGGTCTCTATTCCCTCCAGGGTCCAGAGCTTTTGCCACTGAGCCGAATTTTTCCCCCCTATCTGTAATCTACTTAAGAGGAGCAGCTCTGTCCCAGACAGCTGAGAAAGGTCTTAAGTACCCAAACCTACAGGTAACTTTAAGCAACTCTTAGTGCAATGATTCTTAACCTATAGTTGAAGAATTCATATTAAACAAATTAAATAACTATTTCAAGATAATTGATTTTTTTGTATTTTATTGTATGCACTTAAAAACCATCATGGGAGCCAGAGGCAGCTAGTGGTAAAGTAGATAGAGCACTGGGCCTGGAGTTAGGAAGCCTGAGTTCAAATCTGGCCTGAGACACTAACTGGCCGTGTGATCCTGAGCAAATCACTTAACCTCCAGAAACCCCTCAGTTTCTTCAACAGTAAAATGGGGATAATAGTACCTACTCCTCAGGGTGAGTGTGAGGATCAAATGAGATAATATTTACAGAGTGCCTGAAATATATGGTCTTCTTCAACCTGACTTTTGTGTCATCTGTGCCACAAAATAAAGTTCAAAATCTCTGCCTTAGCATTCAAGGGAGAAGAAATGAATGATGAAAAGGGTCATCAGAAAGTAAAGGGTATTTGACCCATCCTGGAGTTCTGATGGCTCTGGACCCTAAAAGCAGGCTATGTGTGTGCCTATGTGTCTCTCTGTGTTTCTATTGTAAGTGCCTCTGAGCTGTGTCTGCCTACCTGTCATCTAATCTATCATTGAGTCTCTCGTTTGATTTAGTACGAATTAAGTTTGAGACGCCAGTGATACAACAGGTAGTGATGCCTCACAGGCAGCTGAAGAAGCAGGAAATGTGGGGAGGGCAGGGCTGGGGGCTGAGATCCAGGTGTTCAGCTCTGTGGAGCTAATGATGCCTGGAGCCTTGGCAACCAGAGACAGTATTGCAAAGCTAGGGAGAGCAGAGGCAGACGACAAGCTTGCGTAAAAGCGACGCGTTACCATCAGCGGATTAGGAGGGGCCGTTGCCAGGGACCCCGGGAAGACACATGTGACAGCATCCCCTCCTTCAGCTCTCCATTACCCCCCAAGTCACGTGAGCTCCAGGATTCAGTGTTGGGGCAGAGAGGCTGGCGCAGAGCAGGGTCAGCTGACGGCGCTGCGGCCCCTCGGCTTCAGTGTGGCCAAGCAGGGGCATTCTCCCGGTCAGTCTGCAGAGCCGCTGTCCAGCCTGATCCCGAGATGGACCCCATCGACGAGAAGAAGCTACGGGCCCTGCAGATGCTGCAGCCGCCGGGCCTGGGCAAGGGTCGCGCGCTGCTGGCCACCCTGCGGACTCTGATGCTCTTCACGGCCGCGATGATCACCTTGCCCATCTGTCTCTACTTCGTGTCTAAGACGTACCTCTTCGAAGGCATGCTGGGCCTGCCTGCCATCGACAGCTACTTCTATTCCGCGATCGTGGCCGTGGTCTCCGTACATATAGTGCTGGCCCTCTTCGTTTACATGGCCTGGAACGAGGGGACCCGGCAGTGGCAGGAGGCGAGCAAGCTAGAATAGGACAGCAGCCCCGCCCCGACGGCCCTCCCTCACACCCACCCCCAGATCCCCCAGCTGGGGAGGGGGGCCCAGCGAAAAGATATGGGGCTTGGGCATGCGTGGGCGGGGCCGATGGTGGAGGGCCGCTGCTTTCCACCCGACCCTTGAATGTTTGAGGAGGTAAGCGCGGTTGCCTTTCATTCATCCCAACTTCATGCTTCGGCCACTGTGGCGCGAAGGGAAAGCTGGACGGGGTGGGGTGAATGGAGCTGAATATTTTACAATTGAAAATGGGTTTGGAACATTTTTCGGTATGCAGGCTGAGTCCACTCCTTTAAAGAAACAAGCTGCGCTCCTTATAAGGTATGCTGATAGTAATTAGAGATGAGACTCTGATTTGGGGACATTGAAATGAATCTGTGTGTGCCTGAGCTCATAGCATCATGAGATCTTATTTGTGGAACTGGAGGGAACCTCAGTGGAGCACACTGATCTAAATATTCCAGCGTCATGCTGAAATTTTCAGTAGGTGAAAGGGGATGGAGTTGGTAAATCACAGCCTCTCCCTTTATGGTTAAGCGCTTTGAACACTTCGGGCACTTAATTAGTGTTTGCTGAATAGAAAGGAATTGAATTTGAGGAACCTTAATATGGATAAGTTTGGAGCTTGGGGGAGGGAGGTGGGGAGAATGACGTCAGGGATGGAGATAAGAGATTCAGGAGTCAATAGTGTAGACATGAAAGCTGTTACCATGGCAGCAAATGAAATTGCAGAGGGAGAGAGGGAGAAGGGAAAAGGGAAAAGGAGAAGGGAGGGAGAGAGAGGGAAGAGGGAGAGGGAGAGAGAAAGACAAAGCAAGCCAAGGGGTGCCTGGACTAAAGCCAGAGATGTTTGTTCCTCTTTACAGTAACACAAATGTTAAACGGGACCCCCGAGTCAGCCTTGAATGAGATTCTTGACTCAATTTTCACTATGATAAATTAGTCAACTGAGTTTAGCATTAGCACACAAGAATTCCAGCCTTATGTATTTCAGGTATTCCTCTTGTAAATTAAGATTTTCTTATTGTGTTCACCACACTCCGTCTGTCATGTGTCAGTTAACAAACATTTATTAAGTGTGCCAGGCACTGTACTGAGCACTGGGGGCATAAAGAAAGGCAAAAATGGGGTCCTTGTCCTTAAGAAGCCCACCTCCTAATGGAGAAGACATGAAAACAACTGTGTAAATACAAAGATAAACACATACCTACATATATACGTATATATATGTATATATATATATACATATATATATATACTGCCTTCCATTTACACTATATATGTGTGTGTATATGTGTATATATGTGTATATATTTATATATGTACATATATATATGTGTGTACATATACATGTATATGTGTATATATGTGTATATATTTATATATGTGTACATATATATATGTGTGTACATATACATGTAGTAAATAAAAGGTAATCTCAGAAGGAAAGCACCAACAATGTATATATGGCTGTTATTGGTGGTGGTAGTGGGGAATACGGCTTAAGCCTCCTCCAGAAGGGGGATGTTTAGTTTCTAGGTATGACTCAATTAGTCAAAAGGCATTTGTGAAGCATTGTTAAATTCTGAGGATACAAAGAAAGACAAAAACATTCATTCCACTGGGGGAGACAACATACATGAAAAAATTATATATATACAACACATCTACACACATATATACTGCCCATATATACATATATGGTATAAATGAAATGTAAAGCAGGTATGGTCATCCTTTTTTGTATGTTGAGAGTACAAAAAATACAAAGCTAGATGATTTTAGTCATCTAGTACGTCATCCTCTTGAAACATCCAGGCTTACAGGGAAGCAATATACCAGGATGTATTGACTGACACACCTGGAATCAGGTAGTCTCGGGTTCAAATCTCACCTCTGACACTTAGGATCATATATTTGGAGAGCTCCTAAGTCCATCCCTTTTTTCTTATCTTTTGTCCTCTTTGCTAATTTTCATTTCAGACCCCAGTGTGGATATTCTGCTGACTGTATCTCCATTTTCCCTGCTTATGGCACCAGAAGAGAGTTGCCATCACCTGCAATGCCAGTGAAAGACTCCACATATTCTGTGATAAAAACACTTGCTTGTCCTGGTACCAATGGATAGTGAGGAAAACTCCTCAGTTCTTCATTTATTTGATTTCCACTCTATGTTCTGAGAAATCCAGCCTAATTCAGTGGGGGTAGATATGGGCAGATTTCCTTATCAAAATCAGAAGCCTGAAAGCTGAAAATTTTGCACACTATCACTGACAATCATCCTACCTACTGCAGTATTCCAGCCCCTGTTAGAGCCTTCTCCCACCTCCCTGGGCCTGTTTGGTCCTTTAGCTCAGAGGACCACCTGCTTCATCCCAAAGCCTAGGCCCAGGGTAGCCAGTGTTCTCAGATCATGACAGGGCTTCACTCCGCCCTATGCTTTGGGGTCTACACCCTCCACAATCTATATTATTATTCCAAAGGCAGTATAGAGTAATGGAAAAAACATCAGATTCAGACTCAAACAACTTGGGTCTGAATCCTAGTTCTACCACTAATTAGATACAATTTACTTCAGTATTCTGACTCTCAGTTTACCCATTCAATAAATGAGTTTAAATGGGGGTAATTTTAAAAAAATCATGACACCTCCAGCATAGATTAACTTCTGTGTAAATTGGGTCAAATCCAGTCACTCAATTTCATCATCTCAAGGGCCACTGCCACCTCCTTAGTAGGTAGGTCCTGAGGGGTTAAGAGTCCAAATGTGCCAGATCTACTTTTGTCCCTCCTAAGAACCAGTCATTGTAAAGCCGCTGAAAGATATGCTTCATTTCACATCTATTGGATGTCTTTCTGGGTTTAACTACAGGTGTTCTTGGTATGATCTAACTTACCTGGATCTCACACCAAGACCTTTGGAATTCCATGCATTCATTCACTGCTTTTGCTTGTCTTGTGACAATGACTAGTGACACTGGTCTTCTGTCCTTCTCTAAATAGTTTTGCAAATGACTCACATTCTAAACTACCACTACCTGTGGCTGCTATGTCTCTGCCTCGAAAAGTTGAGTGTTTATCACCTGTGGCAGTTTCTGGCCTCTTTTGGTCTCCTTGTGACAACTAGTTAGCATAATTTAGACTTTTCTAGGAAATAGTGATAAAAGCAATGTCTTTAGTCCATTTCCTGTTTTTGTAGGACTGCCTCCCCCAACAATCTGATGCTTGTTTTAACCTTTGCTGTAATCAGTAATTGATTTGATTGTATAACATCAACTGATTCCAAAATCACTGCTACAGTGTACCTGTGGTTTCCTATCTTTTAAGGTATGTTAGATATTTGGCCCAGGAAGTGCTTTCTAACACTTCTATTGAAAATGTTCATGATTTATTGATAATGAGACTTCTGAGTGGGCTATACAATTTGACCCCTTTTATTTCTTGGTCCCGAACCATATTCTCCAATGTAGTTTTTATCATCCTCATATGACCACTTAAGCATCAAAATTGTTGACTTAGTTTAGAGAATCTTATCAAGTTCTTTTAAAAAATATTTTCTACCCTTTCCTCTGCAATGTTTATTGGTATATAAGCTTTATTCATCTTTGCTGTGGTTTGTGAAATCGGTGAACACTGAAAGATAAGATAATAAAGCACAGCATGAAATGATATTTCTTTTTGCCTTGGAGTGTGATGAAAACAACTTAACATCTCACTTATTTACTTCTCTGAAGGAGATCTACCAGCTCTTCTTCCACTTTGCTGTGGCTTTGTTACAGCTTCTAGTTTTATTTACAGCTAAAATAGGGCTGAGTAGTTCAATGTGGTAAAATAAATGCAATTCAATATGGCAGTGGTCCTGCATAGCCTAAATGAAAGGATTTCTTGTTGAAGGCAAAGTTCTCCAAATGCTCCTATTTACAAGTGACTTGCATCAAGCCAAGGAATACACTTAATATTTAGTATAGTGCCTGGTATCTAGTAAGCATTTGAATGCTTGCTGGCTGACTGACAGTGAAATATCTAGAAATGTGAAAGTTCTTAGTGTATCCAATATGGAAGAACAAAGTGGATGAAAAATGGACATTCCTCAAATTATGTCATGGTGGTAGAAGGCAGTCCAACTAGCTAATTCACTGGTATATGTTTTATGGGCAATGAGCTAGACCCAGAATTTCATGGGAAAAGATTAGGTTGAATTGCACATAGTGAATTGTGTAATGCTTCACTTTTAGTGATCCCAAACTGCACTGTAGTGAAAACCCAATTCTTAAACACTGTATTTTCCCAGTAACATAAGAATGCTGATCATGGAACACCTCATTCTCAGAAGACTCAGTTAAAGACAACCTCATGGGCAAAGGAAAGATGCATGGCAGTAGTGAATTGTTTGTAGCATGCTACCAGTGATGGCTTGTGCATAAGATGTGGCTTGAAAGGCATCAAAGTGGGGACTAGCCCAGAAGAGGATGTGGACCCCCCTTGTAGTGAGAATGAGAAAACAGATGGATAACTCAAGTGGTACATGGGGACTCAAAGATCAAAAGGTCTGCACATTGGTTGGATCATCTATGAAGAATTCATGGAAAACTTTGAGCAAGACCACAGAAGGATGAAAAGGCATCAATGAGTTAAGAAGTAAAGGATTGCCAACAGAATGGGGACAGCATTTTTTGGGAATGGCAACCTTCTGGGTACCCCTTAAATCATGCCTGGCTGGCAGCTACCTTCTCAGCTAAGTCCCTGCATTTAAAAGCCTGGTATTTTAGAAGAAGAGCAAGTAGGTGAGAGCAGGAGGGAAGGGTTTGTCTCTCTCAAACCTAAATGGAAAAGAGGGTTAAGATTAAAGTAGAATAATAAAAATTAGTGAGAAAGGCAGTGAATTGTACCTAGGTATGTATATGTCTACATCTTGCACTAAATGTTGTTATTTTTCAAATAAATTATTTAGTAATACCATGTAAGGTTACTGTGTTTGGCTATTTCAATCAATTTGTTGTGTATTTACAGAATATATTCTGTAAAATGTGGAGAACATTATGTTTTGGGCTTAATTCATCACAAACCCTACTGTTGGGACCATGGGCCATCTTGTGGAATTATCATTGACTTCTCATAGCCACTTACCCTGATCTCAAGCAGAGGAGATAAGAAGAAATAATTAAACCTCTTCATTGTGGGACTTGTACCTAAAACATGTAAAGCGACAGTTAGGGCCAGAAATCATAGGATCATAGATCTAGAGCTCAAGGGATATAGAAATCATCTTAAACCCTTATTTTACAGATGAGGAAATTGAAAAGTGACTTGCCTAAGGTCACACACATAGTAAATCTGAGGCAGGACTTGAATCTAAGTCCTATGTCTTTTGTGCCAGTTCTCTTTCCAGTGGACCATTTTTATCTAGCTCAAAAAAAGGTGCATATTACACATATATATTAAAGAAGCATTGGGCCTGGAAGACCTGAGTTCAAATCTGGCCTTAGACACTTAACTAGCTCTGTGGCTCTGGGCAAGTCAACTTAACCCTGCTTGTCTCAGTTTCCTCATCTGTAAAATGAACTGGAGAAGGAAATGGCAAACCACTCCAGTATCTCTGCCAAGAAAACCCCAAATGGGGTCATGAAGAGTCAGACACAACTGAAACTACTCAACAACAACAAAAAATTGTTTGTCAATTCTCTCTCCCCACACACATCCCCACAATCTGGAATGGGTAGCACAGAGGTGATGGATTGAGCCAGGGAGAGAGTTGGGGCATCTGGGTAGGAAAGTCACAGAGGCTCTGCATCTTGGGAGGCATAAGGATGTAATACACTGATTAGAAGTATGTTTTATGTATGTGTATACATATAAGATATATATAACAACACATACTGTTTTCTATTGTTATGTGGAGTATCAGTGACTTCATCAGGATAGGAAACTCATGGTATGGTGGCTTCCTCCACCTGTCACAGATTACAGCTGGATGATTTTGTAGCTAATTACAAAGAAATGCCCAATTGAGCCTCAGAAAAGTTAAATGATTTGCTCAAGGTTACATAGCTACTAAGCATGAAAGTTATGATTGGATCCTATCTTCCAGCACTCCTATTTATTAGACTCTTTTCTTTGTAAGGCACATTGAAAGAACAAATATCAAAACGTACCAAGAGAAGGGAAAATAAAGTTTCCTGTAAGAAGTAAATTCTGTCCTTGTATCACTTCTAAAGGAAAAGAGAGGTGGTGAACTTATATGGAGTATAGGCTGATAGATCCAGGGCTGAAAGGGACCTTAGAGACCATTTTATCCAACCCCTTCATTTTACAGATGAGGAAACTGAGGCCCTGGGGAGCTGTGATGATCATAAGGATAATAGGTAGGATTTGAACTCAGACTATGGACTCCATAGCCAGTGCTCCTTTCACTTTGAAAATACCAAGGACTTCATGAAGTGGGAAAATGACAGTTTGCCCCTCACTTTTGAGTGTTCTTTGGCCCTTATCATTATTGACTGTATCCACTGAGGCCAAGTTCTGATTCTTGGGATTGATGTGGCCACCATGTTCTCCCTGGTGGCCATGGGGTCATAGAGAGGGAGGATATTGATCCTTAACGGGAAACCACTGCATTTCTTAATCTGGGGTCTTCAGGTGTCTGAGCCAGATGGCCAGATACCACTGAATTTCTCAAAAGAAAGGAAATGAAAGAGAGTTGGAAGTTGCCCCTAACTGTCTCTGCTGTTAGGACCTGGGGAGGGAGCAGGGTGATTCTGTGTCTACAATGGTCAGTCTGACCTGAAAACCCTCCATGGGAGAGGAATTCACTTGTATATTCAGTTTGGGTCTGATTTTCAGGGCAAACATTCCTCCATATTCTGCAAAGCAGTTGCCTGCAGAGTGGGCCTCTATACCATGCCTGGAATCAGCGATGAGAAAGAGAAGGGATGTCCTTGTAATTCATAATGCTTTTCATCCTCACACTCCGGTCAGAATTTCTCACCTCTGTTACTTATTCGTTGTATAACCATGGGAAAGCCACTTACTTGCTCTGTCTCAGTTTCCTCCTCTGTAAATTGAGGGGGTTAGAGTGGATGGCCACTAAGGTTTCTTCCAGCTCTAAATCTAGGGTCTTATGATCTTTCTAGATTTCAGAGACAGGGAAGAGGCATTTGGTTTTTTGTTTGTTTGTTTGTTTTTTAATGAGAAATGCATTTTTACGAGAAGTACAACTCTAACCAAAGGCGGGGGACTCCTGAAGACAGCTGCAATTATAGGAAACCAATAAGGTGAGTCTTTTCCTTTTAAACCCTAGGGGGCAGGCTGTATAATCTCTCTGAGACTCAATGAGTAGCCCTATCCTAACTTGGAACGCATAGAACTGCTCATGTTTTAAGCCCTGGAAACAATCCATCTCTACAACTCTCAACCCAGATCTTCCTCCCTTCTAAGCCAGCCTACTTAGCATGTTTCTCCAACTTCTAAGGTCATTATTAAGTGATTTTTTTTTCATTCTCATCTTTCTCCCACATGATTCCCATTCTTAAACCTTCTCTAACAAAACCTTCTTCCCTTACATAGTACTTTAATTGACAATTTATTTTCCCCTATTAAAGATTTCCCCTTAACTGTGGAATGAAAAGTTCTGCCCCTTTGTAAAAGATTGTCAGGGGTCAGCAGGTGGGGAGACATTTCTTTTGGTTGGTGGAACACACGAGATCCTTAAAATCATACTAGCCTTCCTCTGCTGGCTCAGAAGATGAATGTGATTTATACCTGTTAGCACAGCTGGGAGTGCAGGAGTATCTATTAGGGACGGTCCACGATCTCAGTATTTTTTGCCACCCTTAGAAGACTATGGGAGGCAGATGGGGACCAAGTCTGAGACCTGATGGAAGTGAAGAGGTTGGTTCCTTTTCCCAACCAGCTTCTTTCTGAGAATTGGAACCTCCTTCCCCCCTCCCCCCACAGAAACATCTTTTCACCACTTCATCCACTCAGATCATCTCCCCCCCTCCTTCCCCTCAGTGACCAAGCATCACAAACATGCTTTGTTCACTTCTAGTTTTGACCTAAGCCCTGCCTCCTCCTCCTTTTTGATGTAACAATTTCTTTTTTGGAGGGAGGATGGAGCAACCAGAGCACGGAAAACTGGCCCAGGTAGAAAAGGAGCTTCTGTGATGAATATCAGTGGGGTCTGGCCTGGGGGTGACCACTGTTATTCTAGCCTGAATGAGATACAGAGACCTAGTCTCAAAAAAAGTCAGCTTCACAAGTACAAGATGGGTGAGGCATCTGTAGAATAGCATTAATGAGAAAATGATACAGCAATATCTGTACATCAGATATAAGGCATAGGCGTACTCAGCCAGTCTCACAGCAGGGACCGGGGCTCTTTGTTGTTGTTCAGTCATTCAATTATGTCCGACTCTTCTTGACCCCACGGACCACAGCATACCATGCCCTTCTGTCCTCCCCTGTCTCCCAATATCTCTCCAATGTCACGGTCGTGGCTTCCATGACACAATCTATCCATCTCATTCCCTGCCATCCCCTTTTCCTTTCGCCTTCAATCTTTCCCAACATCAAGGTCTTTTCTAGTGAGTCCTGTCTTCTCATGTGGCCTAAGTATTTAAGGTTTAACTTCAGTATTTGACCTTCCAGTGAATAGCCTGAATTAATTTAAGTAGTGACTGATTTGATCTTGCTGTCCAAGGTATTTTCAAAAGTTTTCTCCAGTACCACAATTCGAAAGCATTGATTCTGTGGTGCTTGGCTTTCCCTGTATTCCAGCTCTCACAGCCATACATTGCTACTGGGAAAACCATAGCTTAGACCATATGGACTTTCGTTGTCAGGATGATGTCTCTGCTTTTTAGTATGCTGTCCAGATTTGCCACAGCTTTCTTTCCAAGGAACAAATCTTTCCCTGTATACATACCCAAGGGACAGTCCCCAATCACTCTGAGGAATAAATGTCTCTCTGTCCTTGTCTCTGTGCTCAGAGTGCTGCGGCTGCATTTTCCAGGATCTCAATGCTTGCTGAAAGCCAGCTCCTGTCTTCTAGTTCTCTGGGCTCAGGGAATAAATACCCCTTTTCTCCCTTCAGGTGAAAAAAGAGCTTCCATGACTAAAGAAGTATGGGGTCCCTATATCTAGTGGGTATGACATCTCAGCCATAGACACACCACCTGAGGGGAAGGGGACAACCTGGTGTCAGTAGGAACCAAGACAGTCTCCTCAGCTCCTTACCCAAGAGGTTTCTAAGCCACATGCTGCCATTCTGCCAAGGTCAGTGGCATCAGGACTGGGACAGACTTCACTTTCACTATCACCAGTGTGAAGGCTGAGGATACTACAGATTGTTACTGTCAGAAATACAATCGTGTTCCCCCTTCCTTCCCCCAGGGCTCTGGCCTCTTCCACAAACCTCTCCAGGGTCCTCAGCCCTTCAGCTCAGAGAAGCAGCAGCAGCTTCCTGCCCAGCCACAAAGTGAGAGAGGGCAGGGTCTAATGAAGCCCTGCATTGGAGTGGGGTGTCAGGGAGGTCCCTCATGCCAGTAGGGAGGGAAGTGGGAAATAGGATGAAACAAGAGATTATTTAGCCCTCAGAAGTCATAAACCGATGCACTCTAAGCAGCCAAGTGGGCACTGAAGAGGTGGCAGGTTATTGGCAGAAGCAGGTCTATAAGTAAGGTGGGGCTATGGGGGTTCTCCTTCAGGGTAGGAAATTTAGAGGCTTCTGATAGCACTTCTTTCCTTGCCTGATCTCATCCTCAGGATCAAAAGAGGTAATATTTATTAAGTATTTCACATAGTGCCTGACATATAGTAGGCACTTAATAAAAGCTTATTTTATTTTTTAAAATTTTATTTTATTTTTAGGTAATTGGGGTTAAGTGACTTGCCCAGGGTCACACAGCTAGTAAGTGTCAAGTGTCTGATCTGAGGCTGGATTTGAATTCAGATTCTCCTGACTTCAGGGCCTTTGCTTCATCCACTGGACCACCTAGCTGCCCCTTAAATGCCTATTTCCTCCCCTTCCCCTCCAGCGGCTACAGTGACAGTAGTGGTCTCGTTCTGGGATGCAATGCCTCTCTTCTGTAGATTAATAGTGGACCAGAATGCCCTCCTCCCTTGCTGCCTGTGATCTCCACCCTCTCTTGCATCTTTCCCCAGAAATCCTTATCCTTCAGTTGCACACCAAATTCTTGGTCTCCTGGGATATTGCAAATGACCTTGTCTATCCCCTTACCAATTGTCTGAGGCTCCTAAGTTGTAACTGAAGGGCTGGGTCAGAACTATGGCAGCTTTTCTCCCACAGGGATACAGACCTGAGCACAAACTTCCTCTGTGGCTTTTTTTTTTGTTTCACCCCATATGCCAGCTGCTTCCTGAAGGGTCAAACTGCAGAATCATATAATCATGCCTTCCCCTGGGTAAGGGCCATATCCTTCTATGTCTCTCCTAATGGGTTAGGTGGTGCAGTGGATAGAGAACTGGGCTTGGAACCAGGAAGCCTAACTTTCTTGAGCTCAAACCCAGACTCAGACACTATCTGTGTGACCTTGGGCAACTCATATAACTGTGTTGGCCTTAGTTCCTCACCTACAAAATGAGCTGGAGAAGGAAATGGCAAACCACTCCAGTATCTCTACCAAGAAAACCCTAAATGGGGCCATGCAGACTCAGACACAACTGAATAACAAAAAACAAGTCTTCTTCAGGCCCTGTTCCTGGGCTGTTTCCAGTTCCAACTTCATGGCCAAAGGAAACTCTGTTTCTCCTTTCTCTTCCTTCTTCTCGTCCCAGTTGGATTTTCCTCACCCCCAAATCTGCTCTTAGCGTTCCATGCTCATCATCTACTCAGAGAAATGCAGAGTAGCATCCACTCATGGAGGGAGTATGAGCTGTCCCAGAATATCCATAAGGTTATTGGTATTTACCTACCTGAAAGCCCCAGTCTCTTTGCTCAGATTCCTCTAGCCCCTGGAACCAGATCCTGACTCTAGAATGAATGGGAATCTCCTATCCTGACAGTGTTCCCCTTCCTTTCTAAAGATCAATGCCTCTGTTCAGTGGTTTTTCTGCTCAGTCAAAGGTACTAATGCCACTACTTGGTTTTCTCCAGGATTGTTTCAGTGGTTCTGAGGACCTGGGGCAATGTTGTCGCCAAGTCTCCTGCTCCTTCCATCCCTTCCCTGACTCTGTGTCAAAGTATCTGGCACAGATCATGGGAAACACTTTCAGGCACGTTTTGATGCCTCCAAGTGGTGGAGAGAAAGGACCAGGGCACAGTCTGTTGACCTCCCTCAAGGACTTATTGGTCTCTTACGAGACTCCATACCCTTCTTTTCTGAGCTATGCAGTCATTCAGGGACCTCCTGGCCTCTCATCCCTGGACCTGGGGCTGACATTGTTCTCCCCTTCCAGAATGTGAAATGCTGGGGTTGTCACTGTGAGTGGAAAATCAATTTCCCTTTCCCCCAAAATGATGAGCACCACTGACTTTCAGATGCTGTAGGGACAGCTGTTTACTGGCTTCACCCAGGTTCCACTGCATAGAGGAAAGCTATGTAATCAGACAAAGTCAGAATCTCAGTTTTACTATTATTTGTGTGACCTTTCATTCTAGGTCTCGGTTTCTTCATTAGTAAAATGAGAGAGTTGAACCCGGTGAACTCTAAGAGTTGTATGATCTTATGCTCTTGGAGGCGGGTTCTGGCTTGGAACATGCAAACTGACCCCATCTAGCTCTCACGCCTACTTAAACCCTTCAAATTGTTGGCTCAAGGTTAGGGGCAATAAGACAGTTCATTGCCACCGCTCTGCTGGAAGATCTGGGATAGAATGTTGTCTGGAAGCTTCGAGGGGAGCTCCTTGGCTCAGCTCCTCTGGCTCCTGGTGTTTTCCATTCAAGGTACAAACCTTTCTGTACAAACCTGAGAAACAAAAGGCAAGAATTGTAACAGCTACTTAACAGATGGGAAACTGAGGCACAGATACCTAGTTTTCATGACTGGGACTGAGTCAGGTTTTGGACAGAGATGATCTTTATCTCTTGACTGTCATATATGGTCTCATCCAAGGCTTTCTCTTCTATAGTTATAAGATGCTCACCATCAATAATGTCATTAATGTGTTCATTAATTAGCTCCCCACAGTGGGGCTGTTCTATCGTCTCACATTTGGCACAGTGTCCTGGTAACTAGGACATAGTGAGGGTCCCAGACCTTCACTCTGCATTTCTTGATCCTGAACCATTTCTTATATGGACAGACCATCTATAAGTTACTTTATGTTAAGGTAAAAATGTAATAATTTGCGCTAGATCTAAGTTTACTTTCTAACATTAGGTGAAAGGAATGGTTTGTGCTATTGTAATGGAATATCTCATCCAGATTCCAGGGGACAAATTATAATGACTCAATCTCCAGAGACTGTGGCAGTGTCAGTAGGAGACAGTGTCATTCTCCACTGCAGAACCATCTTTGAGATGGGTACCTCCATGGCATGGTACCAGCAGAAACCTGGACAAGCTCCCAAGCTCCTTATCTTTGGTGCTTCTGCATTGGCTTCTGGGGCCCCAGCCCGATTCCAAGGAGGTGGCTCCGGTCTGCACTTCACCTTGACCATCCGTGCAGTAGAAGCTGAAGATGCTGGAGTTTATCACTGTCAGCAGCACTACATCCGCCCTCCCACAGTGACACAGACCCAAACGGAAACCTCCTTGCCAAGCTCAGAGCCTCTTGCTCTTATGACATGACAGCTGTTTCCTTCTATTGGTCATAGCGTATGGGGAGAGGAGGCAGAATGCCCACATCTTAGACACTATTCCGCTGACCCCTTTTCATCTTTATAGAAGTTAAAGATCACATAGCAAGGTCTTCTTGAATCATTCAGGAATCAGGGAAATCTCCCTGAGTCAATCATTCAATAACTCAAAAGAATTTGATGAGCACCTCTTGAGTATTGCAATGGGCATTGAAGGGACAAAGAAGTATATAGGAATTGGTTTCTGATTCCATCTAGGTTGCAACCCAAGTTGGAAGGATAACAATGAATATCCAAGTCAGTTTATAATTAGGTATCTCCTCCCCCCCCCAATCAAGCTGATTAAAAGTTACAATTAAATTATATGAGATGAAAGATTGTATGTCAAAGACCTTAGCTGAAGAATGAGGAATCAGGATTTTGATGCCAAATGGTGCTGTCATGTAAGCATAACATAAATGAGGTTTTGAGATTAAGTAAAGGGGGATGAGCATAAGGAAATTTGAAAGGACTGAAAGTTCCCTACCAGGTAAGAAAGATATATGTATGTGTTTCAGAATATGAAAAGAAACAAGAATTTATTAAGTGCCTACTGAATAAATGTTTTACAAATATTACCTCATTTGATCCTCACAACAACCCTGGCAGGTATTATCATTATCCCATTCTACAGATACAAGAACTGAGGCAGACAACAATTAAGTGACTTGGCCAGAATCACAAATCGAGTAGGTATCTGAGATTGGGTTTGAACTCAGGGTTTCCAGACACCAAGGGAAGCACTCTAAGTGGACTCTCTGGCATCTGTTTGATTTTTAAAAGTTGCTCTGATGAAGGTCTCATCGTTAAGCCTGGTGTTTAATTTAAAATTGATGGTAGTAAAGGTCCATGCTTTAGATTCCTAAAAAGGGCTGAAAATTCAGTTATAAAACTGGGGCAAACTGAAGTTTGGATAACAAAACAGGGTTAGTCACCCAGGCCTTTTTTGCTGTGGCTATTTCTTGCCCTCTGGTGGTCACATTGAGAAATGCCATTAAAATTGTTGAGGCTGACAGAAGAAAAGACCTGACCATGAACAGTTTGGCACGAGTTACAAAAGTTTGCCTAAGCACCAAACTCCTAGAAAATGATAAGGTTTCTGTAGTGTGATAGTCAAGAGAATCTAGTGACAGTCAAGAGAATATACTTTCTATGTATTGGTTTCAAATAGAAGCCAATGCCTCCCTGGGACAATGGGGAAGATTAAATAAAGATAAAAGACAAAAAAAGAGGGAAACATAAGGTTTCTCGTAGTAAAAAACATAGACCTTTAAAACAGATCAAGGAGAAAAAAGTTCAGAATCATTGGACTTAGCTGACAGGTATCACCAAAAAAGGAACCTTCATATCGTATCTTAAGAGATCTTAAAAAGAAAACAACCCCCAATCTCTTAGAACCAGAGGGAAACAGAATGAATTTACCAATCACTTCCTGAAAGAAATCCCTAAAAGAAAACTCCCAGGAACATTATATCCCAAATCCAGATCTTCCAAGTGAAAGGAAAAAATATTACAAGCAGTCAGAATGAAAGAATACAAGTAGCAAGAAGCTATAATCAGGATTTAGCAACCACTAGCATAAAGGAGCAGAGATCTTGGAATACGATTTTACAGAAGGCAAAGGATGTAGGCTTATAACTATCCAGAAAAACTGAGCATAATCTTAGAGGGGAAAGATAGACTTTTGATGAAGTAAGAGCACTTCCAAGTATTCGTGATGAAAAGACTATCACTCAGGAGAAACGTTGAAATGCAAGCGCAGGACTCAAGAATAACATAAAGAGGTAAACATGAATGAACAATAATAACGGACCAAACAAGGATAAAGTGCTTACATTTTAATTTAGGAAGAGGATCCATATGCTTCCTCTGAACCCTATTAACATTAGGGGTCATAGAAGGATAGTCAGAAACAGAACTCCCGATCTTTCCATCCAAACCACCCCTCTTCCCAACTTCCCTGTTTCTTGAAGGCACCATGATCCTCCAGATCCCTTAGGTTTGCAACCTTGGTGTCATGCTTGATTCCTCATTCTCACATTGAATTAGTTGTGAAATCTTTTCATGTCCACCTCCACGGCATTTCTCCTAGGGTTTCCTCTCTACTCACATAGCCACTACCCTACTCCAGGCCTTCTTTTTCTGTTGCCTGGAATATTGAGAAAAAAAAAAGCAACTTTTTAATTGTTCTCCCTGCTTCAAGTCCATCTGAGTCTATCTTTAACACAGCTGCCAAACTGATTTTCCTAAAGTATAGGTCTGACCATGTCACCTCCCTACTTGATAAACCCAGTGGCTTCCTATTACACTTAGGACAAAATAGAAATCCCTCTGTTTGGCATTTAAAGGTCTCCATAATTGGTTTTTTCAGTATCTTCACATATTAATCCCATCAATACACTCTATACATTGGCCATACTTATTTGATCCTCACACATGGTACTCTCTGTCCCACTTGCTGTCTCTTTTGCCTCAATGTTCTCTCCCCTTCCCCAAACCTCTGACTCTTAGACTTCCTAGTTTCCTTCGTGACTCAGCTCAAACATGACCTTCTGCAGAAGGCCTGTCCCGGTTTCCCAAGTTGCTTGTGCCTTCTCCTCTGTTATCTTTGATTTACTCTATGTATAACTTGTATGTATTTATGAAATACTTGTTATCTGCTCTTTTAGAACCTAAGCTCCTTGGGGACAGAAGCTGTTTTTCTCTTTCTCTATAATCTTAGTGCTTAGCATAGTTCCTGCCACATAGTAAATACTAAATTAATGCTTGTTGATTAATTGATCAATTGACTTCCTTAGGTGTATATGCCTAGTTGTGGAATCTCTGGGTCAAATGGTATAAAGAGTATAGTCAACAAGCATTTATTAAGTACCTGCCATGTGCCAGACTTTTCTTATATAATTCCAAAATTTTTTTCTAGAATGATTTGGCCAATTGCAAATGGAATTTTCCAGAGACCCCTAAACATGTATAGAAGTTGACTATTGATCCAAAATACAGAACTCAGGGCATTGTAGATCCCGAGAATCACAGAATGTTCAGAAGTCAGCAGTTCTTAGGTCCAACATGTACCTGAAAAAGAATTTTCATTCATAGTAATTCCATTTCCATTAAACATGAACCAAAAGGAGCTGCACTCAGTCTTCAACCCAATGAATTGATGTGGATACAAAGAGTTTTTAGATATGAAATGTTCTTTCTATCAATAAGCGTTTATTATAGATCCACTCTGAGCATAGCACTATATGGGACACTTAGGAGGAAATAAAGCAATTTAAGACATGATCTCTCTCCTTCTAGGAGCTTATACATATAATTGGGAAGTTAGGATATATACTTATGAAATAACAAATTAGCAAAGTGAGGAGGTACGTTGAAGGTGTTAAAATGAGTGATCCAAATTATAGATTTTCTTGAGTTTCAAAGGAAATTTCAGGGCACTTCTTTTCTTTGGAAGCCTTTAAAAACCATAAATGTGTCTCATGTGTCCAAGGTGTTTTAAATGTAATCTTGTTGCATGGGATGGATTGGATCATTTTCCCAAAGTCTCCAGATCCTACAGTAGCAGCCTAGTGATTCTGCCACTCTCCGATATAATTTTCTTCCCAAACTACAGAAATCTTCAATGCCAGTGACCAATGATCTCTTCATCCACAATGTAGTAAGTTCTTGACCAAAATGATAAGCAACAGTTAAAGTGAACAACTCAAAGTTGCTATTGAATTGATTCAATACAATTACAAATATAGTTCAATACAAACAACATTTCCATTAAGTGCCTACTATATTGGACTTGATTTAGTTCATCTGTTCCACAATAGGACTCCTTTCCTTTTTATAACTGTCCTCATTCCTCCATCCCAGGGACTGGTCACTGCTTGGTTCGTATTCGTCCCTAGACTCATCCATAGCTCAGTGATCTCTCCTAGGGGACTATTTACCCACAATTATCAAACTGCTCCAGCTGGAGCCTTATATCGGACATAATTCCACTGGCAAGTATGGCCCTGGAGCTTGGCTACTGATTCCTTTTAGGGCTCTAAGGGTAACAAGAGTTTGGGCGAATCTTTCTAATGCCACTGTGCTTACCACCCATTCTAGTGTTCTCCATCCAATATCATTGCCAGTGATTAGCCACTGATACAACTTAATGTGTTGACATCTAAATATCACCCATAAACAATGAACATCCATTTTCTATAATAGAGGATATTTGCAGAAAAGATATAGCAAGAACTAAAAGTATAACCAGATATGAAACCAAGTGATCCTAGAAGAAATTAAACAAGCTGTGAGTATAAAACATTTCCACCACTGAGTTCACTTCCAAGTGAGACATAGATGATGGATGAAATACAACCTTGCTTGCAGGACATGATGTCTAGGTTACCAGAATGATTAACTGCTGGATTGGGTCAAGCAGGTCATTTCTTAGGGCTAGCTGATTCCTCTGCTCCCATGCCAGACTTATGGTGCCTCTTTTGATATTTTGAAGCTCATAGGATTTCATCCTGGCCCTTTCTAGTACTTATCACAGTGTTTTTCTTGCACAGTAAGACCTTAATAAATGCTAGTTGACCAATTGACTTTCCATCTTCAATACTTAATAGGAATCTAACAATAGGAAAGAATATACACAGCAGGAAGAGAAGAAACAGTGATACCTTGTATTCAAGGACACATGTTGGACTGGGTGATGAGAGCAGGATATTGATGTTACTTCTCTCCTCACCCACAGATTTGCAGAAGTTCTTGCCTCACTCAGTACCAGGAAAGAGAGAGTTCAAGTTCTTTTGGTACACAAACATAGGGAAACTCAATCTGTTCTACAGGAGCTTACATGATGATGATGCCAGTGTATGTGTGGGGTAATGTATATAGAATGTATGAATATAGCTTTTTTTTCTTTTTTTGAATTTTATTTTATTTTATTATTTCCATTATTTTTCTTTT